GGCCCCCGCGGCCCCCCCATCATGGCTCCCCCCCCCAGCACCATTCCCCCCCCCCCCCACCGTTTGCTTACAGCTTCCTCACAATCTTGCGTGTGATTTTCTTGGAATCTGAGCTCTGAGATCCCCTGAGCCTCGGGGCCCGGACGAGTTGCCTGGGGTCTGTGGTCACCCTTGCCCCGTCGTGTGTGTGTGTGTGTGTGTGTGTGTGTGTTTATGGTGTGATTCTTTATTCAACAGACAGTCCCCTGCCTCCCCCCTTCTCTCTGGGTGCCGGCTGTGCCCAGGTAAAGTACAACCAAGCCACTACCTGGGAGAGGGCACCAGCATGAAGCACATATCCACACATCGTTAGGATACAGGGCGCTAGGTGTGCAGGGTGGGGAGACCGGGAGGCCCTAGCTGGGTCTGGGGGTGGCAGGGTGGGAGGAATGAGCAGAGGCCAGTGCCAACCTATATCACAGAGTTCTCCATCCCAGCCGTCGGGGCAAATGCACTGCCAGGGTTCCTTACAGAGTCCGTTCACGCAGCCGGGAGAGGTCACGCATTGGTCACACAGGGGACCCTGCCAGCCGGGCTGGCACCTGTGGGCAGGGCAAGAAAGAGGCGTCATATGAGGGGAACGAGGTGCGTGGGCTGCCATCCGCAGAGCCAAGAGCTCTTGGGGGTCTCTGCCCAGTGGTCCCAGGAGTAAACACCCATCGCCTGAATGGTAAAACTTCAAGGGAGAACAAGATTTGGGTGCAGGCACTGGGGGCCCTGAGGGCTGGGGGACACCGTGCTCTGCCGCAGTGGCCTGCAGTGGTCTCGCCCTGCCAGGAGCCCGCCTGCCACCCCACTTCTGAGAACGCAACAGGAGCTGGGGCCGCCCCCACCCCGGCTCCCCCCGCCTTTGCTGGTTTTCTGCAGGGGCGGGGGAGTTGTTTGCCGCAGCTCGGTGGCTACCCCCCCCTTTCCTGCCTGACTCCGTGACTCCCTGGGATTCTGCCCCCCCCAGGCTGTCTGGGAGGCGCTGTTCTGTTACCTGCAGACATTGTCATCCTCGCAGAATCCATTTTGGGGGTCGCAAGCCGGGAAGCATTCAGCCCCTGAGGCACAAGAAAGGTTACGCAATTCACCCACAAGGCCCCAGACCAAGGAGAGGCCTGCTGTTTTCTCTCCCCTACAGCCCACTGCTTCCCCCCCAAGGGAGCCCATGACCCTCTTGGGTCCCACCAGCCAGCACGCAGTGGGCACTTCGAGTCTGTGCGTGGATGTGGCTGAGGTGGCCACAGCACACAGCCACGTTCTTAGGAGCAGGACAGACGCCTTTCTTCCCCCAAAGAAAATACGAACCCACAAATCCTCCTCCAAGCAAGGCTGGGGGAGGGAAAGATGTGGACCCCTGGGCGCCCAGCCAAACCCTCACTTTTCTGCAAGAGAGCTGGGGGGGGGCAGGTTTTGAGGTGCTCAGATCCTGGAAAGCCCAGCAGGTTCTCCTGGTGGGTTCGCAGGTGAGGCTTCCAGGTGTTTTTTAAGGTTCATTCCAGTTAAACCAGGCGCCCAGGTCAAATTCTCCCGCTTTCCCCCACCCCAGAGTCTTCACATTAAGACGACGACACAAGAGATGCAAAGCTTTTGCAGGGCCGACCAGGGATGCAACACTGCTGAGCGATCCTGACACCTTAGTAGGCACCTACTGTGTGCGTTGACACAGACCGCTCCCCCCACCCCCTGGTGCAGTAGGGGGGTGCTGCGGGGGGGACAACTCGCTCACTGTCAGAGACAGATGGCCGCTGCAGACAGAAGTGTCGCAGCCCCTCACCTAGAGAACTGCGTCGCGGGGGGGGAGGGGGCTCGGGCTAGGCTCCCAGCGGGAATTGGGGGCCGCGACGGCAAAGCACCCCCGCTGCCCCAGAGGCCCGTTCCCGGACGCGCACACCGGGAACCCCAAAGTTGCACCGGAGCATTTTTGCAGAAGACTCCCGGAATCGCCTCGTCTTTCCACAGCTGCTCTCTCGGCACGCGACGCCCCTCCGAGCGCCACTTCTGCCGGGCGGGAAGGGGCCGGGGTCCCACGCCTCCCGGGCTCCCCGGGACCCCGGGGCCGGGCACGCGAGGGTCGGGGGAGGCGAGGCG